TCATTTAGCAGTAAGGCATTCCCTGGGAAATATCCCACCCTCTGACTCCTCCACCTCAACCAAACTTCACAATCATCATCACTGTGTACCAGTATTAAATTGTTTGTTTAAAACTTATACTGTGTGTGTATTATATGTCTTGTCTGGTGAAAAAAAAATTCCCTGGAACCTAACCCCCTCATTTACATTAATTCTTATGGGGAAATTGGATTTGCTTCACATCGTTTCGCTTAAAGTCGCATTTTTCAGGAACATAACTACAATGTTAAGTGAGGAGTTACTGTATTAATAGTAAAACATCTCACAAATCCAGAAGATGTGTACTGCAAAAAAATCAGCAGAGAAGCACTTCCACCAGGGATTGGATGGTACAAGTACTAAAACAAAATCACCACCACCACCACGAGATTGAAATCATCAGACTCAGTCTTTCAAGATCTTGATAACCAGGCTGAATCAATTTAAATCACAGTGGTTCAAATAACAAAATTTTAATTTAGTTGTGCATTTGTACTTTTTGGTCATTTTCTTGACGAAAAAGTTCATTCTCATTGTGTGGTAACCATTAAAAGATGCATCCAATGAAGTGGGCTGTAGCCCACAAAAGCTTATGCTCTAATAAATTTGTTAGTCTAAGGTGCCACACGTACTCCTGTTCTTTTTGCGGATACAGACTAACACGGCTGCTACTCTGAAACCTGGGATTAAAAGATATTGACTTGCAACTAAATATAGCTCTCTCTCTAAATTTGGCACTTCTTGCTAACCAGGAAGATACTCTACATCTATATACATTTTATTTAAACAACTACATAGCACAACATTCATTTATTCAGATTAATTTACAATTTTTAACATTAAAATGGTGAATAATGCATTTCCTTTGTAGATTTTTTTTTACTAGTGGTTTCTGTCAAGCTGCTTGTAGACTAGAAATTGGAATTCAGTTAAATGCAAGTAAACAGCATTTTTAAATTGTTTTATTAGTTATATGTGTTAAACTTACTTGCTTACACATTTGCTTTTAAAACTGATTTACTAAACAAAGTTAATCAATTGATAGATTGTTTCTAGTCACTATGGACCAGATTTTCAAAGGTATTTTACATGGGATTTTCAAAAGTTCTTAAGCAGGTTAAGATGCTTAACAAATCAGTGGGAGTTAGACAACTAATGCACTTAGAAGCTTCTGAAAATCCCACTAGGTGCCTATCTGCATATTTAGATAATCTGCCCCCATGTGCTTCAAGATTTTAGAATTAGTAGATCTCATCTTCTCCCACCAGGTTTTTATTTATAGACAAAGGAAAACAACTGACCTCTGGCACTGATCAAGTTGATTTGCAAAGACTAAGATTACTGGTAGGGTTTCAGTGTTACATTGTCAAACCTCAAAGGTCACCGGAAAGAGAACTGTTTAACAGTGTTTTCAACAGACGTGCCCACATGTCTGCAGAACTACTGGATTCCTCCCCCAAGTTGCATGTTTATGACAGAGTTGAAACTGCAGGTAAATAATTTTATAAGACCATTATTTGCACAAGACACAATAGTAGCTCTAAAGTAACTGAAAGAAGACATCCTACCTCATCCTCAACTAGAGGTGGTGCCACCTCCTTGCCATTTTCTGTATGGCCAGAGATGATGTGGTTGTCATCAGGCTGCTGCATACATTGGCAAATGGAATCTTTTTTCCTAGTGTAAACCCATGCATTTGAGGCACGAGTCTTTACAGAAGTCTCCTCCCTCAAAAGTTTCTCCAGCACATCAGCATCAATCTGTAACTTAAGTGTTTCACATTCTGAATGACTAGGTCCAACGACACCTGTTGAATGTCTCTCATTCAGTACTGTATCGTCCTTTAAAGATTCTAGTAACAATTTCCCTTGTTGATTTGTGCAGAATGGGGTACGAGGAAGTTCTCTCCCTGTGGGAATAATATTGTCTTTAAGAGTTGTTATACTCCATTCTCCTAATTTGGGGATTTTTTTTGAAGAGTAATATTCTTCTCCCATGAAATCAGATGATTGAGATGGCAACAGTTGTAGGATCCCTGGAGCAGGAGTTCTTGGAGTTTGCAGACCAAGACACCGAATGTTCTGAGGAGCTGGACAAAGGCTTTCACATTTGACTTCATTATTTTTATTGCCATTCCCTCTCTCAGTCATTTTAAGATTACTAATTTCACTGAGAATATTTTCAACTTCATCTTTATTCAGGGCAGTTTTAAAGAAACTTCCATCTAATTTCCTTGTCTCCATGTCTTCTCCCAGTCGTAAAAAGCGTCACACGTAGTCAAAGGAAAACGTGAAGAAAAAAAAATCAACTTTCTTTAACCCCCATAACACGAAAGATTAACAACAAAGTACTGAAAAGTCTTCTTTACAATATCCCAAGAAAGAAAAAAAGTAACTTTTAAAAGTATAATTATTTTCATATAATTTGAGACAAAGCTCCATCTGAAGTACAGTTCTACTCAGGAAAGATACTGTAAAAATGCCACCTACTTATTCAACAGATCTGCTCTACTTGTGTATTCAGAATCAAATCTATTTACTTAACTGACTAAAGTGTATTGCGTTGTTAGCCCTGAAAAGCCAGTACAATAGTGGAAAAGCTGGATTGTCTTCTGGGTCACTGATCAACAGATTTATGGCCTTGATCACTGATACTAAACTTAAAATTGCCAAAATTCTGATTGAAGAACATTTTGGCTCTGAGATAATTGGAAAGAACCCATCTTTGCTTTTACATCCCCAATATAAATTTGCAAGACTTGTAGTTAGAAAAATCAAGGTGTTGCTTATAAAATGAGCATTTTATCTTGAGTCACTGAGAGTCATTAAACATGGAACCTACCTCATGATGCCATTTTTACAGTCAATTTTCAAAGTAGAATTGCACTTGGAAGATCCTGAGAAAATCTGAGCTGCAGACTTCCTGGATTGTCTGCCAAAGCAAGTAACATCGCAAAGAATTACAACAGGCAACTGCCATGACCAATGCAACATTTTACTTCAGACATGTCAAAGGCTGTAATCAACACTTAGGACTCTGCAGGACAAGTTTAAATTCTGAGCTCCAGAGCACATCTTTGAGGGTTAAAATAAAAAAATTAAAAACAAACATTTTGTGTCCTGCCCCGATGGTTCTGTAAAATTTCTGCATCCTCCAAAATGAAAGGGAAGTTAAAAAAAAAAAAATCAAACCCACATATCTTTGGGCTTAAACTGTGAATGAGAGTTTCAGGCCAAAGGGAAAAGATATAGAAAAAGCTGGGAGGCAGAGAAATAGGAGACGACAAGGGGTACAGGTTCCAGTGTAAGTTTCTTACAGTACGGCCATTAACTAAAAAAATAATAAAACAAATAATAAACTCACTAGTGGAGACACCACAAGTCTGCAGGCCTTGTCTGTTTAGGACTAGTCCTGATGCAGCCATCACTGTAGCTGCGCCAGCACTGATCCTGAACAATAGACAAGGGCAAGCCAGGGTTTGCACCAGCTGAGTTTGAAATAGGGTTAAATTGTATATTAGTTTGGTGCAAACTCCAGCTCATCACTGGTCTTCTTTATAGGAAAGAAACTGTACTGGCTTAACAAAATTAATTTTAAATCAGCCCTGTTAAACCACTGCAAGCCCCCAGCAAAGGTGAACCTCAACCAGTTTAGCACTGGCTTAGGTCCGCTTTGAACTGATTTAGCTAAACCTGGGGCTTGTCTACACACAGAGCTGCACCGATTTAGCTACAGGTGAGATTAAAGGAGGCAGCACAGCCTGGTGGCTAGAACACAGGACTGGGCCTCAGGAGACCTGGGGTCTGCTCCTGACTCTGCTGGGCCTTGTCCCTTCCTCTCCCTAGTTCCCTCTACCCTTACAGTGGCATGTAGCGCGCCGCCTAGCGCGGGTATAAAGACCGATGAGGACAGCAAGTCCGCTACGGGGCTCGCTACACACCCGAGCGGCGCCGCCCCTCCACTCTGCTGGTTACAGCAGCAGCAGCAGCCGGGTGTCCCGCCCCCCGCGCCTCCCCCTGCCGCCCCCAGGGCTCCCCGCGCAGCGCCCGCCAGGCCACGGCAGCCCAGGCACCTCGTGCCTCAGGTTCTGTAACCGGGGGGACTCGGGTCCCAACCTCCCGGCACTGCCAGGCCCGAGGTCCCACAGGGGCCGCCCCGCTTGCACCAGCGCCGCTCCTGCAGCCCACCCCCGAGCACCCGCTGACCCGACAGAGCCAGTTCCACACCAGCGCGAGTCTACACGGAGGCGCCTAATCCGAATTCACGTAACTCGGGGGAAACGGCTGCGTCACGAGGCCCGGGCAGCTTCGCGGCGGCCCAGCTACAGAGCCGGACCCGCAGCCCGGACGGGGACACCCCGCTGCCCCCGGCGTGGCTGGCCACCCCCCCTTACCCACTGCAGGCGGCCCGAGCCTTGTAACCGCTCCTTGCGCCGCAGCACAGGCCGCTCTTTCGAACCGCCGCTCCTCGGGTTCTCATTGGGCGGAACGACCAGCGCCAGCCGATTGGCCTGCTGCTCCCAGCCCCTTGACTGGCTACCTCTCCAGCCAATCAGAGGCGAGCAGCCATCGGAACCCACCGGGCTTGCGTGTTTGGGGGCAGCGCGCCGCCCGATCCCAACGCTGTGAGCGCTGCTGGCTAGGCCCGCGCGCCCGGCTCAGAAACGGCAGGGAGGGGAAAGCTACTGGGGTCCTTGTGCAAACAGGGCTCCTTGTAACCCCCCCGCCCCGGTATCTGGGTCACACAAACCATCTTCTAGTCATTGCAGTCCAGCTCCTTGAGGAAGGGATGAGAGAATTCCCTGTCCTTTATGTTCAGTGACAGTCACTGTAACTGGAGCATCATTAACACTCCCATACTGATAAACTGTAAGGGATGAAATGGAGTCAATTCGGATCTAATTCACAACAGCGTAAATCTGAAGCAAGTGAACTGAATTACACCAATGTAAATGAGAGCCAAATCAGGCCCAGGTTAATAATCTATAGTATCAATACAATCTCTTCATTCCAATAAAAGATACACGATGCTAACAAAATGCACAAACTATTTCAGTTCCACCTCATACAAGTGCCATACTTTATCAGCTCTGATGGATCAGTCCCACTCCATTTTCAAATCATAATCTCTGAAAAAACAGTAGTGACGCCCGTTCTAGCACTGACTGCACAACATTGACGTGCTAATAAGGGCTAAACAGAGGGCACCTAAGTGTATGTCTACACTGCAATAAAACTTTATTTCATTTTTTGTGTCATGTACTTATCCTTAAGAGGAATACAAAATTAGCTCAGTCAAAAAATCACTGCAGGATTTGCTCTGCAGGATCATTAGCAGATTTTTAGAGCTAAAATCTTTCCAAACACTCCTTAAACAATTCAGATACTGAAGTGAGGAGTACAATATAAATTACAAGATGACCAAACAAAAAGAAAGCACACATGACTTTCCTCAAATGTGCAGGAGGATGGGGAAAATGTAGGAAATACAAATCTAGTTTTATTGAGACACCATGTGACAAGCTGTGGTTTGGAGGTGGAACAGCTGTCAAGGGCACTGAGGGGGAGGTAGCAGGAGCTCACCCTACAAGGAGGGGGGTTGGCACTGGAGGTTACTAGAAAGGACAAGAAGACTCCATTCTGGGGTTCAGGAGATGAATTCATCCCTCCGTGGTGGGCAGGTGCTTGGTGGAAATACTGCTGGTTCCAGGTGCCCTTAATTCCCCCTGATTCCTCGTGGCGTTTGAGTCTCTGGCCTGGTCTACACTAGGACTTTAATTCGGATTTAGCTGCCTTAATCCGAATTAACCCTTCACCCGTCCACACTACAGAGCCAGTTAATTCGAATTAAAGGGCCCTTTAAATCGATTTCTGTACTCCACCTCGACGAACGGAGTAGAGCCTAAATCGATTTTGTTAATTCGAATTAGGGTTAGTGTGGACGCACACCACCGAATTACTGTGTTTAAGTTAATGGGGTAGTGTGGCCGCACACCACTGAATTAATGTGGTTTAAAACCGAATTAAGGTGCTTAGTGTGGCCGCGCACAATCGAATTTATACAACCTGTTTCCCAAATTCGAATTATCTAAATTCGGATTAATCCTGTAGTGTAGACATACCCTCTGACAAGCTCTCGTTCCCTTGCAGCAGGAGGACGTCACGGCCAAAGTGATGCACCAGCTCCGCATCATCCGGCACTTGCGCCAGGTGCCTGAGACACTGCAGGGGCTGTGCCTCTGAGGCCATGAGCAACTCCCGCTCCCTGCTGCAGGTACTGCTCTGGCTCACTGTAAATGGGGAGCTAGTGGAAGGGGAAATGGAGCCCCCTGGCCCTCACTAAAAGGGAAAGTGGTGGATTCTCCATCTCTTGATGTCATTGAATGAAGACTAGATGCCTTTCTGGAATGTGTGTGCCCAAAAAGTCACTATTGTACTATACAGGAAGCCTATGATATGCAGGGGGTTAGATGAGATGCTCTTAAGGTCTCTTCTGGCCATAAAGTCTACTAATTTTGGAAACACTGAGT